CAGGCACTACTAAGGAGTTCTAGAGCTGGAAATTTAACATGGATGCCCAAACTAAAGGTCGGTCGTGAGAGGGGAAGCGGGTCAATTCCTTCAGGAACCGCAAGGCACACATATCTGATTGGCTGGAGCTTTATGTTTAGGAAAACATCTATCGCTGGATAGCTGTTTCTTAATTAAGTGAAATTCAAATCTCTTACAAATGATTTATTGTCATTAGCTTGATATCTTCCTCAACTATACTGCAGCCTCCACACTCCTTTGTTAATTCAGGTCATGAGCTTTTCTTACCTTTCTTTTGCAAAAACTTGCAAAAAACCCTCGTGGTGGCGTTATAGATTTCAGGAGGCCAAATAAAAACAAAAATACAACAAGCTCTATATATAAAAACATTTTACCTCACTAAACATACAACAAGCTCTATAAAACATTTACTCACATATTCTAAGTATCAAAGCACAAAAAAAATTCACATTGCCGATGGCTCCTTAGTACCGATTGCTAGCACAGGTCCTATTGACTGTACTTCCAATATTAAACTCTCCTTTGTTCTTCATGTCCCTAGATTCCCTATTAATCTGTTATCCATTAGCTTAATCACAAAAGCGCTTAATTGCAAACTAACTTTTTGCCCGACTCATTGTATATTTCAAGAACTAAACACGAGGAGAACGATTGGTAGTGGTAGCTTGTGCGATGGACTGTATCTGGATGACGTTTGTCGTTTTTCAAATCGGTACCGGTCAAAGCTTTGTTAGGAAACTTCTAGAAATTCTTCCCATGAAGTTTATTCAAATGGCATTAGAAGATTAGGACATCAGATTAGGACATCCCTCTTTTTTTTGTTTTAGGACGTTTATTTACCACTTCGTTTGCTAAGTGTGATTTTGATTCATTAGTATGTGATGCTTGTGAACTTGCCAAACACATTAGGCATTCTTATTCTCCAATTAATAATAAAAGTTTGATTCCTTTTGCTACTATTCATTTTGATGTATGGGTCCTATTAAAACTGTCTCTCTCTGGTTATAGGTGGTTTGTGACCTTTATTGATTGCTGCACTAGATTGACTTGGATTTATTTGATGAAAATAAAAAATGAAGTGTTTTCATGTTTTCAGAACTACCATAAAATGATTAGTACTCAGTTTGATGCGCATATTAAAATCCTTAGAACTGATAATGGTACTGAATACATGAATGCATATTTTCGTAACTATTTAGATTCTAATGGTATTATACATCAAACTAGTTGTGTCAATACTAACTAGTTGTGTCAATACTAGTGCTCAAAATGGAGTAGCGAAGAGGAAAAATAAGCATTTATTGGAAGTAGCTAGGTCTCTCATGTTCACTATGAATCTTTCCAAACCATATTGGGATGCTATTTTGACTGTTGTTTACCTTATCAATCGTATGCCTCTTCGTACTTTAAAATTTAAAACTCCATTAGAGGTTCTTCTAGAAAAAAACTCTTATATTGTACCTCCTAAAGTCTTTGGTTGTGTTTGTTTTGTTCATCAAAATGGTCTAAGCAAATTAGATCCTAGAGCTTTGAAGTAAGTGTGTGCTTTTGTTGGTACTCTACTACTCAAAAAGGATACAAGTAGTTATCATCCTCCTAGAAACTCAAAAAGGATACAAGTGTTATCATCCTCCTAGAAAATACTTTGTGAGTATGGATGTTACCTTTCGAGAATTTGAGTCTTATTTTCCTTCCCCACAACCTCTTCAGGGGGAGAAATATCAGATGAAAGAAGAGATGAATGACATTCCTTTCCAGGGTGAGATTTTTGTAGACATAAATAGTAAGAGAGAACAACCACCCAAACCTCTAGGAAGATTGGATAGACCTGATTTGAAAATCAACACACGGTGGACCAATACAGATACAACCATGGGGCATGAGACCTGTGATCAACCGTCTTCTCCAATTTCAGGCTCTGAAAATACAGCCGAACAAGAACTTGGTGAGTCTTCTTTAATCCCTGATGATTCTGATCCTAATCTTGATCTAGCCCTTCTGACAATGATCTTGATATTCCTATTGCTCTTAGAAAAGGAGTTAGAACATGCATTAAACATCCCATCTTCCATTTTATCTGCTATAATTCTCTGTCCCCTTCCTATAGAGCCTTTGTTTTGTCTGTTTCTTTTGTTTCTATACCGCAGGATCGGCAAGAGGCATTATAGGACTCAAAATGGAAGGCTGCAATAGTTGAAGAGATGAGAGCTTTGGCAAAAAACGAGACATGGGATCTTGTAACTCCTCCATCAGGAAAGATTTTGGCAAAAAACGAGACATGGGATCTTGTAACTCCTCCATCAGGAAAGAAGCCAATTGGATGTAAATGGGTGTTCACAGTTAAACATAGGAGTGAGGGTGATGATGAATATGAAGATTTGGATTGAGAGGATAATAAAGAATATCTTGTTTTGCATCATGATGATTGATGATTGATGATTAAATGAGTTTTGAGTAATTTTAATGTTAATTATTTAATATGTAGTATGGTAGTACAAATAGGAAGCAAGAAATAAGAACATCCTATGCAATTATTTACTTTTAAGGAAAAATTACAGTACGATCCCTGTAGTCTAAAACATCCATATAGTTTACTTTCGTCAGACTGTGAGGTACTTTCATCTAATTTTTACGCCTTTTCCGTTAGGTACCTCATGAAATGACGAAAATACCCCTTTTATTTTTAAAAACACAAGAACAAATTAGTTGTATTCTTCAAATCATAAGGACTGCACTGTAATTTTTTTGATACAATATTTTAATCACTCATTTAATCTCTGTTTTTCTTGTTGACTGAACAGAAAAGATGCAAAAATTGAACAAGACCTAATAGTGTAACGAACACAAAATATAAGGATAAATTAGTATATTTTAATAAAGACAAGGACAGACTAGTTGTATTTCACATACGACAAATATCGTATTATAATTTTTTCTACTTCTAATTTTTCCTACATTATTAATATTCATTTTTTTGTATAGTTTTTCAATTATTTACTATTTTTTCAATTTTTTTTATTTTGGCGCCAAGCGTCGCTCGATCGCACGCCTTGTGCTTAGGCTCCAGAACCCCTTTGCACCTTAGTGCGCCTAACGCCTTTAACAACTATGACCCCAAGGAACAAGTAGTAAATAGATACATTAGCAATAGCAAGGTAGTTTGGCGTACATCTTAAATGAAAGGACTAGTTAACTAACTGGTTTGCTTGTTGAGAAAGGGCTAAATTACACTAGTTACTACTTGGGTGCCAAAACATTTCTTTTAATGCTAGCTTCATTTTGAGGTTAAACTCTTTTATACATAATAATGAATAGTGTTGAAATTATTGAAAGAAGAGGTGCATCCATCAAACTTTTAAGGCTAACTTGGTTTATTAGAGGTGTTGCTTCTTTGGTGAACACCACAATTGTGCTCCATGCATCAAGGCGAACAACCACTTGTCTTCTTTAGCTTTATAATCATCATTCTCATCTTTGTCACCATCTTTTCTCTCTCGTATTATATCATCGTTTTCTTTATCTTTTACCTTCTACTTTTTTAATTGTTAACAACTAATAGCTCATAATTTTAATTGGATATTGAAGACCAGAGAATGTAAGAATAAGAAGTGATTAGGACTTTCAAAGTGAGAATAATAAGGGGGTTCATGGCTTGTAGCTTTAAAGAATGAAAATTGGGCTCAAGGGAGTTAGTAGTATTTTCTCAACTTTCAACTCAAGTAAGAAGAGCTCAAGGGGAAAAAATGGCCTACAACTCCCAGAGTACAAGAGGCCCACAAAAGGGCAAAGCAATAATCAAGTATGACCCAAAAACCAAACCAAACAAATACATTTCGGTTTGGTTCCGTTAGGTTTTAACAAATTAAATGGTTATCGTTTGGTTTGAATAGTGATAACTATTCGGTTTTGGTTTTTGTTCGATCTTGTACCTAGCTAACTAAATTTTTTACCCCCAAAATAAATGATTCAGCATGGAATAACCAATCCATTTTTTATATTTTTTAGTCTACATTGTCATAAAAATCCATTCGATCAAATCGAACTGAACCAATTTGGTTCGATAAACCAAATGCCCACCCCTAAGCAGAAGCCGATAAAGGTAGAAAACCCATAAAAGGACCTCAAGCTTAAACAATTAAAAAAGGAAACTAGCGCTCTGCTTGGATGAAAGGAGAGAGGGATCATTCTAGTAAAGTATAGTAAATGATGGTAAGGGAGTATGGTAAACGACCTTTTTTGTGTTTGTGGAGAAGGTATGGTAACTGAAAGTTTAATAACATTGTTTTGTTTGGTTTGATAGCACATGAACATAATGTTAAATATAAAGGTTACGAAAATACTCGTCATGAAATATTTACAAATATAGCTATGGATAATTTTGAAAATCAAAATTTTCTTCTAACCATGCTTACACCCCAATTCGACAGATTGAAGATGGAGGTATTTGGATGGGTTTTCAACCCTCAAATAACTTTCAAAAGACCATCTTCTCCCCCCCCCCCCTCAAAAGACCATCTTTCTCCCCCCCCCCCCAACTCTTTTTAAATATAAAGCGTTTACGAAATACTCGTCATGAAATATTTACAAAATATAGCTATGGATGATAATTTTTGAAAAATCAAAATTTTCTTCTAACCATGACATATGGCCGGGAAAGATAGACATATAGCTATGGATAATTTTGAAAATCAAAAATTTTCTTCTAACCATGACATATGGCGGAAAGATAAGCAATGCTGTGAAAAGACCTAGAGCTTATAGAAAAGAAGAACGTTTGCTTAATCAAGCTAGCATTCCCACTGTAGCCACAAGGTAAACCAAAGACAAGGAACACCCTTTCCGTAGCCAAACAAGTGATCAAGTAAACTTAACCAAATCAAAAATAGTGTAAAATAAGATAATTACTGGTGAAATGAAGTCATCTGCTCCAACTAATTTCATAAGTAATAGAGCATAGCAATAACAGTATGTTTACTTGCCTTCCGAGGTTCCTGCTACCTTTTAATACAACTTTCTAGTATGCTTTCAATACGAAGTGTCAAATGATTTATGCCCATCCTTGAGAATGCAAACTGTATAAATACAAAAGTTTGAAAAGGTCAAAATAATAAAATCAAACAGACAATTAGTTAACATAGTAACAACATAACACCCCTACATCGTACCTCAACCGCAAAACTACTCGACATAATTTTTTTTTCTTTTCAAAATGATTGTTCAACATAATTTAACCACTTTTCTTAATTGATGAAACTTGTGAGAATTTAACCAAAACTTAGGAATGAGAAAGAACACTCTTTAAAGTAAGAGTTTTAAACTAACCAAAAGTAAGATAAAATATATGCATTACAAGTTTGGCCCACATTAAAAGGATGAAAGTGAGCTAAGATTGCATGATATAATGAAACCTATATCCAAATAATTCAAATATCTATTCTATATTTAAAAAAAATATTATAGATGAAGATGCAACTCAAAATTAAGATAAATTGGATGAAATAAAGTACAATTGGTGTGCTACGCAATAAGAAAATATCTCACAGAGCGAGTAAATCCTACTACCTTCATTCTTTTTATATAGGAACAACTAAATTTTCACCAAAATTAAAAAAAATGACTCAACCAACTTTTTTTTCCTAATTCACCCCCCTAATATCTCGTCAATTCCTTCTATAATATCAATGTACACCTTAAAATGTATTTCAATATTAAATAATATTTTGTTGAAATGAAATGAATACAAATGAGTGCAAAAAAATGAAGTCTATACCTACCTTTGGAGGGAATTTTTTTTTTTTTTTAAGTCCTTGTTTGGAAAAGCTATGTGAAAATATCAAAACCTATGCTTATTTAACCTTCAACTGAAACGCCTTCGATTATTGAAAATATATTTTATATGTGGCTTAATTTTTCAAATATTAAGCAAAATATGCAAGAATTTTTTTCGATATGATCAATCTGAAAACAGCCATTTTCCTATTCAAACTTGGGTTTAATCACTGCTTATATAACTTATACGAGCACTTTATTAACAGGAATTAATGTAAAAATCACCCTTTTTCCAAAACTTCTTCACATTGAATGCCCATCTATAGCTTTTTCTATCAGCCTTCACAAAGCACTAAGAGAAAGATAAGATAGACCTTTCACATTAATATTGTTCCAAATTAAACAAAATTCTTTATATAAAAAAACACTTAAAAATAAAAAATTTTTTCCTTTATGTAAGAACGGAGGGAGTATAATATAACGATGAGACCAGTGATATTATATGAAAACGAATGTTGGACTAATAAGGTCCAATATACTCATAAAAATGCATGCAATAGAAATGAGTAAACAAAATTATAAATAATCCTTATATTTATTATATATGTGAATTGTTTCCTTTCTTTCTCTTTACCAATATTCAAAGACCATCTTAAGTAGACATGGCCGGTTCAGTGAACCGCCAATTCCGGTTCAATGAACAGCCGGTTCGAGATGTTTAAAATTTTGAACCGGAACCGACCCTTAAACCTCCGATTCTGGCATGGTTCGACACGGTTCCAACGAACCGACGGTTCGAACGAACCGACGGTTCGAATTACGGTTTCAATTCGGTTCCGACATTATGCAAATTTTTTAAAAAATAATAAAATTTTAATTCCGAATTCATAAATAAATAATAATTTTAAAATGTTTAAACTTTATTAACTAAATAATTTATTATAAAATTTTAAAAGAAAAACTTCTATTAACTAATTTGGAACTATTATTGTATTAAATTTACAAATTTTGCTAATTCACTAATATAGAAAACTATAAATGGAATATAAAATTAATGAAATGAGTTGAAAATTATTATTTTCAAATATCTTAAAATGTTTAAAACTTTATTAGGAACTACACATTTTACATCTTATTATATAAAATTTTATAAAAAGAAAAAACTTCTAACTTGAGACGTAAATTCGCCGAACATAATTTATTAAATTTACAAATTTTGCTAATTCAACTAATATAGAAAACGTATGAGAATGGGAATATAAAATTAATGAAATTGAGTTTCGAAAATGTGAGTTATTTTCAAAATACTAAGAAAAATTATTAAAAAGATTAAATTTGATAGTAAATTATTACTGCAATAGGACCAAAATTGAGTTTAGAGAAGACAAATTTAGAATTAGCATTTAAGAAATTTAAAAAATAAACAATTATCCAAATATTAAGTATAAAATAAAGCAATTAGAATAAAAATAGAATGAAAGTATAACAAAGTTTGCGAGGGAATCTCTTTAATTGGAAATAAGAGAAGAGTCTATAACTATAATCTGTTGGCTTGAAGATAAAAAATCATTCAAACTCATTATATTTAACTATGCTTTCTCATTTATTAATTTTTCAAAAGTTTGTCTCTGTATAATAAAGAATATAATAACAAACTATATTTTTGGATAATTTAATAAATAAATAAATAAATTGTAAAAATTAATTTAAAAATTAATTTACCAAAAGGATAAAATTCTCATTTCGTTACACATATTTTTTATGACATTTTGAAAGTTTTGTTTTTCTTGTTTATATAAATCAAATTAGCATCGCTTACCATTTTTTTTGATAAATTAACACGTGAAGAAGTAATATGTATTTTTTTATAATTAAATCACAATTAATTTAAGTGTACCATTGTACTTGCTCTTCATCTATAAATCGAATACAACTATAGCAATCAAATAAAATCTATTATAAATTTTTTTTTATTAAAAATCTTTAAGCTACAATTTTTTGGTGAACATTACCATTCGAACCAGACCGAAACCGCCGTAGGTTTCAGTGTCCAATATTTTAAAAATTCACTCATTATCTAACCAATCCGTGAATCACCGATTCAGTTCAAAAATTAAAAAACCAAGCTCAATTATATTGGCTTCTCCTGCACATCTCAATTCGTCTTACAAGTACAGCGTTCGATTCTCTAAGTGGGTTCGATTCCGGCATTAGAATCGGAAACCGGTGGCCATTCCTAATCTCTTAACGTGCTTTGTTCTTCATTTCTCTCCTATTTCTTTACTGAACCTTAGTTTTGTGTTTACCTTGGCCTAAATATATGAAGTGTAAAAAAGTAATCCACATAATTCCTTTATTTTTATTTTTTTAAAGGAGTTTATTTGGAAAGGTGAGAAAAAATATTAAAAAAAATAATAGAGAAAAAATATAAAATCAAATTTCACATTTTAGAACAAATTATTAATTTTTAATCTACTTTCATTTTAAAAAAAAAAATATTGAAAAAATTTTACCATCAATAGATATAATAGTGCCAATTTTCTTTCTCCTTGAGTAGTTTCCTTCCATATTTTCTTTCCTCAATAAGAGCGCTCTCCCTCTTTTTAAATATTTCCCTTTCTATCCATAAAAAAAACAAAACCCGTTCCTTTCTTCATATTGTTTAGGAAGAATGTTTTTCAAATTTCAGTAAGATTATATAATACGTCCTGGTGAATATTTGTTGGCATTATCCAACAACATTAAGTCAAAAAAATAAAAATTTAAGACACCACGATAAAACAGTAGCAGATAAAAAACATTCGAAAAAGATATTTTGTAAGATAGATTCGAATTTTAAAATCTGAAAAGACGTCCGGTATGAGAGGCGAGATATGCTGTACGTGAAGAAAAACAAAAGACAAACCTGTGGTTCAAGCCGCCTGCATTAAGCGACGCTCAATCAGTTATCATTTAACCGGCGGCGACTCTTTATGGTAGAAAATGAGTTAGATATGAGAGAATGAAACTTGAAAAGACGAGCGAAAATGCAGAGCAAGGGCGCGCAACGTGAATTAAGAGAGTAGACCGAGGAGTGCGAGCACGGGCAGCATCTGAAAGCAAAGGAAAAAGGAATTGAGTGATTTGTTCTGTGAGTGTGTTTGAAATGAACCCTAATCGACAAGTCTTAATCAGAGATTCTATTTTACAGCTTTTTCCTAAAAAAATAAAAGCCTATAAATAAATTGCCCAGCCCAAACTAGAAAAGGTGGATTAATTAGTAGGACAAACTCAAACCCTGAGTTAATGTTTAACCAAAAGGTAAGTTTAAACTCTTTTCCTCGTTATATTTCTGGTTTTCCCGCTCCATCTTTACTCTCATCGCAAAACAAAACTGCAATCTTCACCATAACCGTATAGCGTTCTTACTGTTTTCGTCTTCTCTTCCCTTTAAAATAATCAGAAAAATAAGCAATTAACCTTGATTAAAATAAGTAATCCTGGCATAAATGTTTCAACTATTGCCAATTTTAAAATTTCTTTCATCCATCGCACCGAACAGCGTTCAGCAAAAAATAACCAGTTAAAGATGAATCATATTTTCTTTCTTCATAGTAAGAAGTGGAAAAACTAGTTTCCCAGATTTAATTGACTAGATCAACATCTTCGATATATATTAAAATATCACTGTCCAGAAAGGTTTGCCTTTTCTCGAATAATAACTCGATTCATGCATTATTCAAAATACCCCAATTGACATTTTAGTTTCAAAATTTCCATATAAAAGAAAAGCGCATCGTACGGAAATTTTCACGAAAAAGAAACCGATCTCATCTAGAATTGAAAACCAGCAAATCAAACAAGTTCTGTTCTTGGGTTAAAAAAGAGAAGAAGAAGATAAGAAGAACCAAATATTAGACTCTGGATTAAAGCTATTTGATCTTTGTAGAGGCTATCCGCTAAGATTTTGGTTGATCTCAACCAAACAAAAAATCTTGAGACAGAGTCACCAGGGTAATCTTCTTCCATTACCAATGCATAATTATATAGTTAATATTATATATAGGAACATATTGTAATCATTACAGGGGAAGAAGAAGTAAGCAAGAAGAAGAAATATTTTTGCAAGAGGTGTTTATATTGAGCCGGATTGAAAGCCCAATTCGGAGGTTGTAGAGTAAGAAGGGAACTTTCCAGGTTTGTTGTGGTTCTTCATCATAGTCTTTCTTCTCCATATCAGATCGGGAATTCAACTGGGGTACATTTCTAAGAGGAGGACTGGAAAGGAACGAAGTGGTGGACGCTTTTTGGAGACAACAAAAAAGAGGGGTAAGGTAAGACGCACAGGACAAAAAAGGAGGGAGATGCTTTCCACGGGTCGAACACCTTCTGTCAACATTTAATGTGATGATTGAGACTTTAGTGGCTCAATAATTAATAGTCTAGAACGGAGGCGTTCCTTGGCTGGTCTCTCCGGAAAAACGAAAGATGAAGGAAGAGTTGAGCTGCGTCATACGAAAAACCGTCAGCTCTTCCTTTATCGTTTTGTCGACGCTTATGACAGGCTTGGAAATGGCAAGGAGCGGTGGCCGAGAAGTGGATTGGCGAGAGAAGGAGGTCGGTCAGCCAGAGTTCCAAAACCTTCCAGGGTGGCCGGAAAATCGCAGAAAGGTAAGGGAAAATGGCTGTTCGTTGGAATCGGGAGAAGGTGAGGAGGACGTTCCGCAGTGTGGAGAGTTTTTTTTTATTTTTGAAATTTCCTCCTGGGAAAAATTAATTAGTTTTTGTCCTTTTGAGGTTAATAAAAATTAAATTAATTTTATCCTCATAGTTTTAAATATATTAATTATTTAATATTTATAATATTTTGGCACATTTTGAAATTTTATAGTTTTTTAAGAAAATCATTACATTTGTTTAAGTTAGCAATTAATCGTTTATATTATCCTTTAAATTTAATATTAATTTTTTTTTAAAAAATTATATAAGAAGTATCATGTTTACAGATAGGGTAAACATTGAAAAAAATATTTAATTACTCTTTTGAAATCACAAAGTGTTATATGTATATTTGGAACAAAACTTATTGTTTCAATGTGACAAATATTATGAAACAGGAGGTGAGTTATATAGTTCCTGACAGTTTTATTCTGTCTCAATTAATATGCCCTTTCGTCTGAAACAGCTCCATTTTTCCAATTAAAAGAGTTTTGTAAAAAAGGTCAAAAATGCCCTTTAGCTTTCTCCTCCTGTCTATCGATCGCCTCCTAAACCCAAAACTTCAATCTTTATTTCTCCCACTTCCTTGTAGCAGCTCTAGGGAGCCAAACTCAAAAGCTTATGTCGAAGACTGTCGATTTCTGTATAATTCATCAGCATACACTAAGATGTGTCCATAGTGGCAAGTCCTTGATCGAATTAGTGATCGATTTGACATTCGCATACCCACCAAGGCTAAAGATTCTAATCGAGAAATTCATCATTTATTTAGTTCAGACGTCTGCCCTTTTTGATGGGACTCTCACAACCATCTCCTTTTGAATATAATTTAGACACTAGATAGATACTCCTAGGGGTATTTAGTTCATTTAGTTCTTACTTATCCTTATGGCTATATTAACTTCCACAATTGTGCTCAAACTGATGTGAAATTCTGTCATAGAGTTGTCTACAATATGAATCCATATTCAATATTTACACACAATCCGGAGAAAACATAGAGGAAGGGTAATATGTTACTAAAATCATTGATTTTAAAAATTTGTGCTTGAACATATGACTTAGGTTTCAAGGGACATCCTTTGTTACTTAATTGCATGGACAAGGCCGGTTATTTGGTAATAATTACAGAGAGATGGTTAGATAAGAGCAAGTCTCCAACAACATGAACTATCCATGTTATATTTGATGAAAACATCTTTTTCCTCATTTTTCTCCAAAAATTTTCTCAATCGCTATCCTCTTCGTTACTGACCAACGTATATTTACCCACCACTCTACGTTATATCACTTGTACCTC